AGCTTGACGCCCGTGACATCCTCTTGGCCCGCAACGTCATTGGCCTTTTACCCGCGAAGCAGTTCTTCCTGTTCGGCACTCCCATTAGCCAGTCGCTCTCGCCCTTGATGCACAACACGTCGTTCCAGTCCTTGGGTCTCCCTTACCACTATGGCCTCCATGAGACGGCAACAGTGGATGAGTCTGTAGTTGCCAAGATGCGCTCGGCTGATTTTGGTGGTGCTAGTGTCACAATCCCCCACAAGATCGATATCATGTCCAAACTGGATGAAATCACGGATGAGGCCAAGGCCATTGGCGCTGTCAACACCGTCGTACCTGTTCAGGGCGCCAACCAGGAGACGACCCTTGTCGGCGACAACACGGACTGGTTAGGCATCAAGCATCAGATCCAGCGTCACCTCAGCTCCACTTCGACAGTCCAGCCTCAGAAGATGAAGGGTCTTGTTATTGGCGCCGGTGGCACCTCTCGTGCGGCCCTCTATGCTCTTCACCGTCTGGGAGTACAGGAGATCTCGATCTACAACAGGACGTTGGTTAAGGCCCAGTCTGTGGCGGATTCGTTCAAGGACTTGTTTGCGATCAAGGTAATTGGATCCAATGAGCTCCTCAAGTCCTCCGAGTCCTCGACGGACTACGACCTGGTCGTGTCAACTGTTCCTGGCACCATTGACAGTGAAAGCATGTTTGACGAGTCGATCTTTGGAGCCGCTGGCAAGAAGAGAGGTGTTGCTGTCGAGTTGGCGTACACCCCTCGTTTCACTCGTTTCTTGAAGTTGGCTAGCCAGGCTGGTTGGGCCACTGTTGAGGGAGGTGAGGTGTTGGTTGAGCAGGGAGGATGGCAGGCGCAGAAGTGGGTTGGTCGTCGTTGGGACTTGGAGAGTGTCCAGGTCCAGATGGACCTTGTCCAGGCTGGTCGCGTTTAAACCGGGCATGCTATTTTGAGTCTCTATTTCTTCCCTTTCCTATCTATTAAAACAGAGGTTGTATATTTTTCTATGTTAACTGTTGCCGTGCCTTAAGGTCGGTCATAGCCCTAGCTTTGCTCTTCGCCTATCATGAGAAATGGAGAAAGTGAATTGGCCTACAAGGAAAACTAATACCTGCGCTTTGCGCCACCCTTCATAAATGGACCAGGATGTGTAATCGGAGATGTTGAATGCCGCTAAAAAAAGAAAAAACGTTCGCCCTGCTTATATGTTTGTCTGGGTATGGGATATTTCTATTTGTCCAAATGGAGGACAGTCCACGCCTTGTGCTTAATTAAGAAGCAAGCAAACAAACGAATGAGCGTCGACTGATGACACAGCCTCCTCACCACGGGAGGAGAGCAAAAAAAGTATTTTCGCCGTCAAGGTATTTTGTTTTTTTTCCTTCATTTTCCTTTCCTTCTTCCCAGCATAGCACAGCCTTCTTGTCATGTCGACATAAAACATGCAGGTACAAAACAATGCGCAGCCATCTCGGCTGGTTTCAATTCCTTCGAAGCTTGTGGAGGGCACTTTGTCTTTGCTGAAGAACAGACTAGTAGGCGTAGGAAATGAATCTTCCAGGGGCAGCATTGACTTATCTCAGGGGCAACACTGACTTATCTCTGGAACAGCGATTCATTACTTGGCAACTACTAGCACCAAGACTAGACTTGTCAATCTTATTCCGCTTGTCTTCGCCATGGTTGAGTGACTGCATATCAATCACATAATATTCCCTGGTAAAAGAAAAAAGAAAAAATAGACATTGCCTTGAAGTTGCAGGATGAAGAAGGAAAGATGATCGTGGGTGGGGCGCTTTTTCCTGGTATTTTTGTCCATTATCCCTGGGCGAAGAGTTAAGTTCTATATCCCGCCCAAATAGCTGTAATACTTAAACAATTTTCTGCTTGGCCATTGGTTGGCCTTCCCCTGAGATGATCGGACGACGCTGTGGCTATGCTTCTTCTCATCTCCCTATTTTTATGGTTTTGTTGTTTTTTCGCTTGTCGACTTCATTTAAATAGCGAACCCTTTTCTCCAACTCCCCCTTTTTTTTTCCTTATCCGCTTCTTGACTCTTCTTTCTCCAACAACAGCTCAAATCTATTGAAAACGCATACTACCATCGGTATTTCATAGAACACCTTGCATCAAGTATCCCCTCACTCAACACACACACACATCAAATATGGTCTCGTTCTCCCTTCGTGGCCTGATCTTGTCAGCCTCACTAGCTTGTCTCGCTGTGGTAGCACAGTCAGCCCCTGCACCTCCTCCAATAACTTCCCCTCATCCTGCTCCCCCACCACCAACAACGGCTCCTCCTCCAACTACCCCTCCTCCCCCTCCTCATAGCCTAGATGCGTGTGGAATCCTTGCTGCCACCAACCTCCGCGAACTCACATACGACAAAGTCTCTGCCTGCTACCTCTCCATCCCCTTCAATAACCAAGTTGCTGCATCAACACTCGAGTCCGTCATCACACTCTTCAGCGACTTCTATACCTTCCGCGATTCTGCCCTGGCGCCTACACTCGCTGCTCCCTTTTCCAGTGCACCCGTTGACATTGTTGAAAGACTCAAGACTGTTGGACGCACCCTTTACACCAGTGATCACCAGTTCCATACAGACCTTAGACTTGCTCTTTACAGCCTTTATGATGCCCATGCTTCCTACAAGGGTATGGGAACCTCATCTTGTCATGATTTCTTTTTTTTTTCCTCCCCCTTTTTTGTACCTGAATGAGGATCTAACCGCATGGTCACTCTGTTATCATTCTTTTTAGCCAACTGCTACATGAGTTACACTTTCACTCAGCCTATGACCCTCTATGCGCCAGTTATAGCTGGCAAGAAGGTAAAACACTAGTCTCTCAATTGTCATTGTCAAGTTTCTACTTATCAAAGTTATCTCCATTCTAACCACTCAGCACCTGCATATTTATTATTTCACAATAGGAAATCCGTGTCTTCAAAGATGATGGAGGTCGCAACTACGAGGATTGTATTGTTCAAACCATTGATGGTCAAGACGCTCTCACCTACCTCAGAGAATGGACTGACAAAAACGTTTACTACTCCAAGGACCCCGGTGTCCGTCTCAACCACGCATTGGCCACTCAGACGTACGTCGCAGAGAAAAAATCCTTCCAGATGCTCCCTGGTGAGTTCTCCTTGAGACGTCGTCTGCCCGAGAAGGCCTACATTGACTTTGGACTCCAATGTGGAAACTCTGCTACGGTGACTCAAGTTCGCGAGAACTGGTTTGTCTTGCCAGCGATTGACACAGTGTTTACTGATGGCCCCTCCTTTGTCGAGAATGTCTGTCTTGCAAAACCTGAAGAGATTGCTACTGCGACAGCAATCGCTGAACAAATCGGCATGTATCACCCTGAGGTCCCTCAAAACGAACAACATATCCGACCTGAATTTGAGTTCCATGATGGTGCACTTGCAGCGGCCCCTGCTCCTCCTCCAGTTGTTCCCAATCCTGTCCTTGAAGGCGCTGCCATGGTTGGTTCCGGAAACGGCACTGTTGTCTATCAACTCAAGGATCATCCTAATGTTGGAGTGGTCGTTGTACCTTCTCAGATGTTCGGTGTGGATGACGACGAGATGGAGTACATCTACGAAAATCTGCTAACCTTGCGCAACAATGGTGTCACCAACCTCATCATTGACCTTCAGGGTAACGGTGGTGGATATGTTCTCTTTGCCTCACGACTAGTACAGTTGTTCTTCCCCAACAAGGATGTTCTCGATACTTCCCTTCCTTCCAACCTCCGTGTCAACCCATCAGTTCAAGAGCTCGCTCGTGTGGGCTTTAACGAAAGCTGGGCTGGTATCTATGCGTCAACCGAATTCTATGACTACACTGACAAGACTCCTTATGGCAACGATGAACTTTACACAAAGTCCGTCCCTGCCACACGCTACGGTCACACTGCTGAATACTCTGAGATGACAACTTACTCACCTCATGTGATGGAAGTTCCCGAAGAGTTGCGTGCCTTGCCTTGGACCGACCAGCCAGATCGTATCCGTATCTTGACCGATGGTCGCTGTGGATCGTCTTGCTCTCAGTCCGCATTCTACTTCACAAAGTTCAAGGGCGTCAAGTCGTATGCAATTGGAGGCTTCCCTGGTGAGCCTCTGTCATTGTCTGCTTTCCCTGGAGGTATTGTGACTGAGTTGGCCGATGTCTACCAAAGCTTTTCCCGCGCCAAGATCACCAACCCCTTCAAGAGTCCCCTTCCCTATGACGCCTCTGCCAGGTTCACTTCGCTCGAGGTGTTCCTTCCTGAGAGTACTATTGCCTTGGACTTTGATGGTGCACAGTATGCCTCCGACTTCCGTCTGGATTATACCCTCGAGAATGCAAAGAGCCGCACTGTTATGTGGAATGAGGTTGCTGCCCATGCTTGGCAGTAGATTATCTAGTTTTATTTAGCTTTTGTATTTAGTTTTGTTCTTATCTTTTCTGCATTTCTTACCTTGTACAAGTAAATTTTCTCAATCAGTTTACATGTGGTAGTCCAAGCGTTTCATAGGAATGTTGGGAGGAAGGGTTTGAGCGCTGTGGATAACAAACAAAGGGCAGGAAGCAGATGCTAGGTATGCTACGTAAAGAGCAATGGGACAAGTCAAAAGCAAGGAGAAGGAAAGACGCGACATATGATATAAGACGATAGGAGAAAGAAAAAAGACCAAAGAGATAGACAGAGGAAATCAGGAGAGAAAGCGTTTTTTTTTTTTTTTTTTTTTTTCCTTCTTTTTTTTTTTATCTTTCATTGTCTTTGGGTGTGCCTCGTAAGGGACTAAGTGAACTAGAAGTGCTGATCACTGGACTCGTACAACTCTGATTGAGCAGTGAATGAATATCAAGATGATTTGGAACAAAGGTAAGGAAATAGGTTAATTTTTGCGATTCTACCCTACAACGCCGAAGTTGATCTATTGTGTTACTTTCTCTCCTAGATGTAGTATTGAAGGGAGGCGCTCAGAACCTCACAATCATGCAAATGCTCAACCCGCTCACCAGCACTCGAACCTGGACCTCTATATTGAGAGGAGAATGCTTTCCCACTGCACCAAACGGGGTCGCAAGACCCCGAACTAATTACGCGAGGAACCTTTCATTCGGGTAGTTGGTATTTGTGCCTGCCTGAGCGGGCAATGGTCCGAAGCTTTCGTCCATTGCCATATGGATGAAAGCCTCAAAGTCAAAATATATGCTAGAACGCCACAATTACTGCCTGTTGCTATTTTTCGTTAAACATGACAGATCCCACGGATGTTTGACCACTTTTGTGATGAGCGGAGTACGGTGATAGTATCTCCAGTATATAATTTGAGAGAAGAGGGCTCGTCGTGCTGGCGTCTAATTCGATCTTTGCCTGGCTCCAAATCTTGGCTCTCGCGACGTCGTCCTCATGTGGATCTTCCGAGACTTCATGGATGTCTGGATGATTCTCATCAAAATGACGGTCCAGATCCCTGGCGGCCGGAAATTTCCCTGCGCAGATAAAACACTCGTGTTTCGAGGCTCTAGGTTTTTGAGCTCCTGAAAGGTGTTTTTTTGTGTGGAATAGGATACTGCTCCTTGTTCGAATCTAGACTTTCTATTAATCAATTGATATTCGACTGTTCGACTCGACTCAACTCAACTCGACTTTTAATTAATCCAACTAGGCAGAGCTGGATCAAGGTCGAGTCAAATAATCGTCGAGTCGATTCAAGTCAAGTCGAGTGAAGTCGAAAAACATCGTTCCAAAATCAGCATAGTATGGAATAGTCGAGCCGAATAATCGTCGAGTCGAAGAGTCGGATAAAATTTTTATTCGATCAAGCTCGAGTCGAGTCCGAATAAAGGGTCATATCTGACTCGATTCGATTCGACAGAAAGTCTGTCAGACACTAGAGAGGTGTAGAGGGAAAAAAAAGACAGTGGTGTAGAGTGGTGCAGAGAGGTGGTGGAATTCACCCATGAGGAAAACGTAGCGTGTTCTCAACAGTGTTGAAACCAAGGGAGCATTGACGTTATTGTTTCTTTGTGCATTTCTCCATGCATTTCTCTGTTGTCCCCATGCGACAAACAAATCTTTCGGTGACGAACCTTCTTGTGCTGGGTGGGGGATAATTGGAAGAGATGGATGATGGACGAAGGATGTGGAGTCATTTTACAGAGGTCCGTTGAGACGAGGTTTAACCAGTCGCACAAAGATTTTAGGTCACCGATTTTCTGTCCTGCGGCAGTGCTATCAGCTCTTCTTCCATACACTCTTTCCACGTCTCTTTTTCATACCACCCTCCCATCCATTTCTCCTACTTACTTACTTCCATGGCCTTTGCAGCTCCTACTCTCTCTTTCGATTTTGCTTTTTCGTTTGTTTCTCATACCTTTTCTTTTTTGCCACCATTTCCACACTTTCATCATCTTTGCCGCCGTTCTCAAGCCTTTCATCTCCTCTTGCTTTTCCTATTTAATTCCACCCTCTTCTCTTCTTTTCTTTCATCGCTCGTTTCTCTTTCATCTCACACATTCTCAATAGCTCTCGCAATTTCCTCTTCCCCTTCTTTTCACTGATGCTTTGCAACATTAGAACGAACACCTTGAGCCTACTCTGCCTCGTTGATGGAGAGAGTAGCGCGTTTCCTGTTGACATTAAGCCAAGCAAGAACCTTTGATGAAAGGAAAGGCCATGCCATCGAAACGCAGATAAAGGGCGTTATTGCAGAGGGCGGAGATATCGCCCCAGAGAAGGATAGTCTCGCCTGTAGAAGGGTCGCGGTGGCAGGCAATTTTCTTGGCCTTTGGTGGGTTTGTTTTTTCGGCCGAGGTTCCGTCCTCGTAGACGCGGTGGACAGCCTGGACGGTAGGGCTAGTCATCAGAGTTCAAATAAACTGCGTGAGGTGTGAAACGGTCCAATGGCGGAGCTGGGTTAAGTGAAAGTAGGAGTGGGGAGGATGGTAGAGCGTGGAGTGAGAAAGTGCAATCTTCGTCCTACTCTCTCTTCATTTCCCGCATCTCGTTAGAACTGTGCCTTTGAGGTCATGGCGTACTAAGCAGCAGATGGCGAGACAAAAATTATTCCACAGACGTGACCAAAATCATTTTCATGCATTATTCACTGCTCGAGAGGCGAGAAAGGTCGATTTCAATTCCAATGCAAGCGATGAAGAAACGAAAAAGGGAATTTTCAGGTGAACTACTCGAGACAATGTCAATGTGGCTGAGGTTGGCAAAGACGAGTTCCACAATGGATCTAGCGCCTGCATTCACGAAGACCCATCGTGAACCATAACTATGTAAATTACTTTCGTGATCATGAAAGACAAAATAAATATTTTATCTTTGCCTCAAGCATTAGTGTGCACCAAGATACGAGTCAGAGGGGACCAAACAAGGGTACCGGTTAAAAACAACGTCTGGAAGGACCTGGAACGCTCAGTTTATTATTAGCAAAGTATCTCCCAGGTATGCCAGCTTGTAGGACTTGAAGTACCAAAAGTTTATTTTGGTAACCTTCTCATTGTGGCAGTGCTGAGTTATTGTTGTTGCCATCACCTACAAATTGGCCTTTTTTATGACATTCCCTTCTTTCTCCTTTAACAGACTCATCATGCAAACAAAATCAACACCCCGTGCAACCATTGCAACTCTACCGACCGAGATTCTCGACATTATCTTGTCCGACCTCGAACGTCACCACGTCGCAGCCTGTGTCCTCGTCAACCAAGAATGGCTCAACCTCTTTAGCCCGTATCTCTGGAAGTCAATATACTTTGACAATAGTTCTCAACCGCTGCAGCACTGGGATATAATTAATCACTATGACGAGAAGGATCCAGAGTCTCGCTTCTTGCTCCGGCTCATGAGGGGGATTAAAGCGGGCGCGTTAATCAGGAACGGTCAATGGATCCAGAGGATCGAGTGTCGAGCTTATGAGATTGCTAGACTAATAGCGACATATGGCGAGAGTTGCACGAACCTATCGGATCTTCGAATTGGTCTTTCTTTCAGCACAAAGCGATTTCCGTCGAGTGATACAGCAGAAGCAGTAGCAGGAGGAGGAGGAGAAGAAGAAGAGGGTGGAGGAAAGGAAGGCAAGCCAAGTATTGATTTGTCACCACTGATAGCAATCCTTGAGAAGAACCCTAATCTTCGCAAGTTGGTACTTGAAAGAGAAATGTTGGATGAACGGAACCCGGATTACATGAAGTTGATGGATTCGATACCGAGGAGCATCGAGGAGTTGGAATTTGCGCACTGGGATCCGATTTATAACACTCGACAATTTCAAGTTGTATTGGACGATGAGGAGAGGGAAATGATCGAATTAGGACCCCAAGAATTGAGCCCTACCAACCAAGACAACATCACTTCAGAGGCTATATCGACATTAACATCTGCAGCCCATCTCCCCAATCTCAAACAACTCTCCTTCAAGAACTACGCCCTGGACCATCAAACACAAACCCTCCACTATCTACTTCCTCGATGCCCCAATCTCGAGACTGTCAAGCTCGACGACTGTCCAAAGGTCGTACCTCTAAAGCTATTTTCCTTGCTTCTCCGACAACACTGCCCCAAGTTGCATAACCTCTTCATCATGCACGGCTGGTACAGTTTTTTGGACGAGGAATTGAGGGATATCCTGAACGCCAGCACAGCAGGATGGAGATCTTTAGGATTACCACGGCTGCCGTTCGATATACACGAATTTGGCCCACTCTCTGTTGCTGCTCTATTTCAACACATCGGCACTCTCGAGAACTTGCGTCTGGATGGAAATTATTACCTTTCGAGTGTGATCATCCAAAGGATCTTGAGCTCCGCTCCCAAGTTGAGGCGACTGGATATGATTCTGAAGGACCGATCATTACTGGCGGATATTACGTTCAACGCTACAAACATTATCACTGGGAAGCCCTGGGATTGTCCCAGGTTGGAGTCGCTAAAGGTCCATATCGTTGGTATACCACGCCCAGATCTTGTCAAGCGGAGGAATGGTCGACCATTGGATGGACCCATGCATCGAGGAAACATGGAAGAGAGCCGTAGGATCCAACGTGTTGTTTATGAGCAACTCGGTCGATTGACTTCGCTCAAGCAGCTGGTTTTGGGTCACGACGACGTGGAGAACACTCGTGCCTGTCGACATTACGAGGAAGTTGCCGAGGGAGTCTACTACAATGAAGGAGATCCTTTTCAGATGGGACACCAGTACGAGTGTCTTGAGATGACTGTCGAGAGTGGGATGGATGCGATGGCTGGGCTGAAAGAATTGAGGGTCTTAGAATTGGGCGCGATGGAGGTTGGCGAGATGGATAAGGAATGGGTAAAGAAGAACTGGCCGAAACTCGGGTCTCCATACAAGGACACTTTTTGGACCGACCTCGGGTATAGAGAGTACGCCTAGCCCAAGTATCAATAACATCTCCTGACTGCCTCAATCGGTGGGTCTTGTAATTTTCACTATTCCTCTAATAGTGGCCAATGGGCCTTTTTATTTATCTAATGTCGTCCTCACTTTCCGCATAATTAAGTCTCGTTGTCTTCGTAACCTGTAGTGCTGATGACCGCATGGGGCCAGTTCTCCGCAAACCAAGTCTTCTCCCTATCGCCATCAACATAGACCTCCATATCCTGTAACTCTACCACTCTCAAGTCCTTCAAGTCCTTCATTATATCCAGCCCACTATCAACAGTCATGGCAAGGCAACCATACTGCCTATAGAACTCCCTGTCTTGTGCAAGCGAATTTTGATCCCCATCATCCAATGACCACCCGAGTCTAAGTACCTGCAGTTTCTTGAATCGTGCCAGTTTTGAGTAAACCTGGCTTTGAAGAGTCGCACTCTTCTGATGCAATTCATTGAGGGTAAAGACCGATGGAGGGCTGCCGCAAATCTGGCGTATGATATCCGGTCGTGGGATCCCCCCGATTCGACATGAAAAGACTTTAAGGTCATTACAGATCCACTCAGAGTCGACAATTTCCGGGGCATACAGCATACTTGTACGTCGAGTCGGTCTATTGCTCGTGATCCACAACTCCTTGAGGTTAGGTGCTGAACAAAGTATCATATCAATATC